CTTTTTTCAAATCATTTATGTACATAAGTGGGTAGGATGTTTAGCATTCAATAGGGCTTTAATTCAGGTGTAAAGTGGAAATAAATAAGTAAAATGCAAAACCAAGAGCTGAAGCCCAAATAAACATTAGCAATTTAAATTAAATATATATATATATAGCCTAGAGACAATAACAGTATTTTTTCTGCTTTTGTTTTTTGTAAGCACAGTCTGATTTGTTTTTCCTGTTATTACTGTACTGTACATATTGTAACATCCTATAGATGAAGTTCTATCTCTTTGGGTGTTTCTACTTGCATTTAAATGCAAGGAAAACAGGATATTTGTTAGTTTCTTCTTATAAGTTCAATATGAAAATGGTTTTTTAAAACATTTTAAATAACCAATAAAGCTGTAATAATTTATTTTTTTTTTTACCTAAATGGGCCCCCAGGTGGATTATGCCATAATGTGCTAGTATGCACCACCTGTCATATTGTGCCCTCCAGCGCTGTGCTGTCACTGATCCCACAGATTCCAGGTGTTTACATCTTCTCCAAGTCTTCCAGCCATGTTTTTTGTGCTCAGCCTTTTGAATATCCAGGCCATGGTGAACTCAATCACATGTGCATGGAAGTCACATCACTGCAGCACAGATTGGGTGCCCTATTGTACTCTGAGCTGCAGTGTACATTACTGCTGACAGGCATGTTTGACAGAAGAGACCATTAGGGTCTTCTTTGTCATAAAAAACCCTGCCTGTCAGTGTTTTTTTTTGTAACTTTTGCTTTCAATATCACTTTAAAGTGCACATGTGCCCAGACTATGAGCAATAAATTATTAACATATACTTAAGCAGTATGAATCCTTAAAAACAAGTCCTCACTGACATTTGTAGCTGCAGGCAGTGTAAAGTAATGCATCCTCAAAATGCACAGCTCTGAAGTCATGGTCTTTTTCTAACAACATACAGTACCTGTTGTTCATTTACAATAGAAGACCAGTATTCAATGCCAACAGAGAAAAAAAATAGGATAGGAGTTGCTATTTCAGTGTCTTTGTGGAGCTCTTTTCCTGTCTGTTAAAAAAATAACTATGTGTCCTTAAGTTGGGAAGAAGGACACTTTAAAATATCTCTATCATTTTTACTCTATATTAATATGATATTAAAGTGGAACGTTAGTCAATAAATTAAGTATTGATAGATCACTTCAGGCTGGCCCCTTTTGTAGGTATAGCTATGTAAAAACATTAAAAATAAGCTCTGCACATGCTCAGTTGCTCTCTATTTTCTCTCTAATTATTATTTAAGATTTACTGTTGCTGCAGAGGGAAGAAAGCAACTGGCATGATACATACTATGCTGAGGGAACACAGATTAGAGAAGGAAAAATTTAAAGCAGGAGAGGTGACAGGACAAACTCTGCTGCCAGCCTTCCTCTTTAACTGAGCCAAGACATACAATCTAGGCTGGAAATGTACATATTTTAATTACAGAAATGACATATAGTTCTTGAGACCAGGAGAAGGAGAGAGTTTCCAATAAGGAAGTGACTGCTCTGGGCTTCAACAATATAGCGGCCTCCAGCAAGAAGAAACAGGAGAAATGTTGGAAGCAATTTACAGCACACACTAACTTTGGTAGCATAATTATAAATTATTATTCTTTAGTTAAAGAAAATTGTTATCAAACTGTTATGGGCACAGTTACTCTTTAACTTGAATATTATATGGGGACTTGAAAGTGAGTGGAGAAGGTAGGTGTCCTTTTATAGTTCCATGCCAGTGAATTATCATTCTAGCAAAATCTTTGCACATTCTTATAACACTTTTTGCAAACCCTCTAATATAATTAAAACATAATTATACTAGGCCCTTTTTCAGATCTTCTGCTGTTTAAGATGGAGTTTGTATTTCCTTCCTGGTTGTCTACCACACAATTCTGTAAATAAGTAATCCTTTCAATCTCTGACTGTAGTGTGAGAAAGTAAAATGTTAACATGCTTCAATGGCAATAAAGTATACGTTCATCTTTTACAAAAAAAAATTACATGCACATCTTTTTGCAGGTTAAAAAAAAATGTGTATTTATTAGTTTTCTGCACTGCAGTCTGTAAGGCATTGCACCCGCGATCAGCAAATAGCGGGTGCAATGCCTGGTTCCTGCAGACTCTTAGTATGCTGTCTGTCTGTACCTCATCCAAGCAGGCAGTTACCAAATGGCAGGAAGAATAATTGGACTATGAGAGCGCTCACTAGCACCCTCGCAGTTCATTGAGAACTTAAAACCATCAGACGTAATGGCTGGCAGTGCTTGTAGCCATTGGTTCACATAAACTATGAATGAATGGCCGTGTGGGCAGAGCCCTGCAAAGCAGCGCTGTTTTTAAATTGTGACAGTAGGTGCAGGAAGTAGATCCCCTGCCTGCTTTCACAGGGAAGGGGTATCGGGGGGGGGAGAAAGCAGGAGCTGGAACATGTTACATGGTCTACCCTAGATAGTGGTGAAACATGTAACATGGTGAACTTACCATTTAATTATTTTAGTTTTTTATGGCCTTTAACAAAAATGCCTTTAGAAAAATGTGTAACATTTGTTTGATGAAAATTAAAAAAAAATATATATGTTCGAAGGCATCTAACAAAACTTTGCTGAGTGGTCTGCATTGATAGAGTCTAAGATAACACTTTCAAAATTTATAAGCTGCTATTAAAGTTAGGATTTAAGGAAGAAAGACAAAAACATGCAATCAGAATAATATTGTTGGTACCCTTTATTTTTGGAAAACAGATTAAATTTTCAAAGTGATTGTTTCTTTGGATGTGCAAGATGAAGTTTGTTTAGATAGTATGAACCCATTTTTGCAGAAATAAAAGAAAAAATGTAATGTAAATTCTTCTTTACGACGTTCAGTGCATTTATTTAATTTCTTAAATGTACATCAATAGCCAGTGCTTTGAAACAGCATTGTTACTGTCTCCATTTAAAGTAAACAAAACATTACATTCAAAAAAGCCAGGTTGTTCTGTTCATGAGTTGGCAGGCATGGACATCTGTAGCCTGTACACTGCTCCTCGACCAGAGACATCACCCAACATCAATTAGCTGTCATTATAAGTAGTGAACAAATAAACCACAAAAATAAACAAAACCAAGACACAATTGAAGATGGTAGAAGTTAGCAGGGATAGAAAAAAAAAAAGAAAAAATGTCATAGGTATTAGACAGCATTCAAACAAAGTAAAATACACAGTGAATGTACACAGGAAAATAATACAAATAATACAACTATTAAAAACAAGGGTTGACTCTTTGAAGCCTGTGGAGACTGTCTTAAAAAAATAGCAACTCGGGGCATATTTTCACACAATATATTTCACTATTAACATATAAAACAAAGTGGTATATTTGTAAAATTAAAATTATCCGATAAAGCTAAATTTTCCAGTTTGGAAAAAAAGAGCATCAGCAAGATAGCTATTTAGAGATGAAAGGGCATATGGTTTATTAAGACTTTCAAAGTCTATTCGTGCAATTCAAGATTTCTCTTGTTGGCCAATGATGGTAAAACATGTTAAAAATGTATGTCTTCTGAACCACACACAGCAACAAGATCCCCATATTACAATTTTTATTTAAATTGAAAACAAATAATACAAAACACCTCTTTAAATTCTATTTACTTTCCATGTTTTTGGTTGCAGTGTCTTGATTAAGAATGATTCAGCCCATCTGAATTAGACTTTGGAACTTTGCAGCTTTTGCATACCACCCCAATCCTTATTAATTAGGTACTACATATACAGTATTATTTAGGTATCTTACTTAAATGGAAATTGACATTCTTGAATGTGCCTAATGATTAGATAAACTACAACCAATTTGCTGGTCTTTCTGACCAATGTGGCAACTGGAAATTTACACAACATATGATGTTGAAACTAATATATAGCCAAGAAATATAAAGGCTATCTACAGTGTCAAAGCTTACCAGTAAATATTTGTAAAAATAATTCAGGTAATAAAGCCAGTCACCATTATCTTTACAGTTGTTAGACTGAAGCTGAGTTCATTTAGGACACTTTCTTTTGAACCATAAAAGTAAAAGCCAAATAAAGAACATAGTCATCCTCTCAACTTACTTTAGAAAATGTCTGATTTAATATCATAACTGGCAATTCTTAATAAGGTTTAATTTACAAAGGGAGATATGAGCTACAAATTACCATGACAATACATCAGCCATTTTTCTTTAGAATCAACCAAATACATTCAAAGTAATTTTCCATGCCACTTTCCAATTTTTGAGGTAAACATACATTATAATATAAAGCAACAATGACACCAACCATCTTGCTCAGCAGTAAATAGTGCTTTCAACACATTCCTTTGAGGTACTGTACAAATCAACTTTCCTGAGGTTTTTTTTGTCATTTTTGCAGACAGAACATTAAAACAAAGAAACTGCAGAAATTAAGGTCCAGATTATTTTTTCCCTGTTTTACTGTTCCACAGAACAGAGGGGATTGAGGAATACTGTTGCTCATACAATGGCAAAAATCTGGTTCTCTGTTTTTTAACTCAATTGTTCATCTATAGTCCAGTAATGTTTGAAGTTAAAGCTTTTCATATTAGCACATGCCACCAATGTAATTGTGAGGCAAACAAAAACATAAAAATAAAGCACCAATTTAGGCACTTGACAGCAACTAAATCTCAAGAACAGCAGAATGGAATCAACAAACAGGTTCACGTCCTTCCAATGCCAACCTACGTCCACCCTACGTCTTTCGGAGTGTTGGCTTGCTTGAACACAACTAAGCATCAACACATACCCATTGTCCCATGTGATTCAATTCAGAACATTGGCTGTTTGATGCACATTTATTTCAAGTCTACCATCACTCTGCAGATGCAAGGTTACTTGGGCTGTCTTGGTACCTTAAACAGTTAGGCCACTGCCAAAAAGGGATTCAATTCCCTATATCATATATGTTTCTGTGCCAGCATTTCAAGTCTGTCACTGACTGCACCCAAACATTTTGTTCCATTCAATATATGTATCAAGTTCTTTTTTTGTGATATGCTAGGCTGAATCTTGCAGAATACATTTTCAAAGTCTTGATATGTTACAGGTCGCAGCTGGCCAGGCATGATGGCTGAAAGGTCTGAAGGTGGTATGGCATGAAGAGGGCCTACCACAGCTTCCTGACACAAACGAGCCACATCCAGTCCAGAAAAACCTTCTGTGCGCTGGACAAGGAGTGCAACCTCTTTGTCGGTGAGACAGTAATTGTGCTGTGATAGCAGTTGTATTATTATCTGATGTCTGGCTGTGCTGTCAGGAAGAGGGATAAGAAGTCTTTTCATGAAGTATCTCCGTAGAGATTCATCTATTTCTTCAGGTTTACTTGTGGCACAGATTACAACTATTTGGTCCTCAGCAGAAGATAGAACAGTGTCTAACTGCATAAGAAATTCTGTTCTCATCCTACTTATCGGACTATGTTCTTCACTCACTTGGGAAGAAAGAAGCATGTCAATGTCACTAACAAAAATCACTGAGGGCTGCCCGACACCTTGCAACAAGAAATGTTGCATGGACAATCTTTTCACCTTCGGTTATCCACTTTGTGACAATATTTGAGCCAGAAAGTTTAAAGAATGTTGCACCCAGCTGACTAGCTATGCATCTGCCCAGTAAAGTTTTTCCTGTCCCTCTAGGTCCAAATAAAAGAATGCTCCGAGGCAAAGCAGTGAGTCCACTGAATGCATCTGATCGAATTACAGGCCATAAAACTTCTTCTTTTATGAAGGCCTTCACTAAATCAAGGCCAGCAATTTCATCCCAGTCAACTGGATGTCCCTGGCTAATAATCTCATTTGTTACAAGGTCAATGAGGTGTGTATCGGTATTCTTCAGCTGTTCGTCCACAGAGTGGTTTGATGAGGTAGCTGTATGAATTCCAGGGCCTTGTAGAGAGTGTGGGAGCATTTGCCTGTGGTCATCACTGTGTTCACTAATTGCAGAAGAGTTGTATTTTCCAAATGTTTCACTTGATCTTGAATTTTAGCAGCAGTGGTATATGAAGGTGGGGTGAGAGCTCTAGTTGACTGACTGCTAAATTTTCTTTGCTGGTCACCAGGTCCCAGCTGTTTCGTTGGCTTGAAGGCTAATGATGTTGTTTCAGAACTTCGGTCAAAGCCATTTCCCCTATTTGAATTAGCAATACTTGTGTCAGGCATTCTATACATAGGGCTATGTGAGGTTCTCTGTTGGCTGTAACTATAATTTCCATAGCTGGGATCTAAATCACTTTGTCCTGCCATGTAGAAAGCTTTTCTTTTAAGAGAGCTGGCAGAACTGTTAGACAAAGAAGACGGTGTTATCGGGGTCAATCCATGGGTCTGATAGCTATAGCCTGGTACAGTAGTGGGAGGAAGAGGAGTAGGAGCAGGAATGCCTGAAGGGAGGTAAGCTGAAGGAGGAGGTGCACTTCCAGGACTATAACCTGACCCAACAGTGGATTGTGGGGGATAAGTTGCAGGTGGATAGTTGTAGCTTGATAGGTTTGAGGCCCCATTGTAGCCTGGCACTAAAGCTGGTGGAGGTGGAGGTGGAGGAGGAGGTTGTAGAAGTCCCGAGCTATGAAGTGGAGATGGGTGAGGTGATGGCAGTGCAGAGGCAGATTGGCTACTGTAACTTGAATGCAGGTAGGATCCGTTATATCCTGCTCCATATTCCTGAGATGGTAGCCCTGAATGCAGACTTGGTACTGTGTGACTTCCACATGTACTACTGGAATAACTAGGTTCTGTCAGGTTGCTTCCCACCCCAGGAGAACTACCTATGCTGGCAGAAACATCGGATGGAGGTATTGCAGCTCCCACTCCAGCTTTGCTTGCTGCAATAACATCAGTAACACAGTTCATAGGATATACACCCTCAGAGTTCAAGGAACTCTGCCAAGGTTCACCTTCATGTTTCCGGCCGTTTACAAGACCTGCTTGAGCTTCAGTGTAATTACTGAGAATGGGCCGTTCCATGGAACCATCCAAAATTCCAGAATATTTCTCTGCATATTTCTTTAGCAGATTTGATGCTGTCAAAGCAGAGATGTCATCATTGGCCCAGGCATACTGATAGGTACGCTGCAGGTGACCGCGGTATGCTTCAACTTTGTGGGCTGGTGACCTAGTGGTCGAAGTTATATCAAAATGCTGTTCTGGCCACTGAGCATGCTCCGGCGTCCACTGCATTTTCAAGCCTATAGAAGGGAAAAACACAAATAGTAAAAAATCAACATACTTGTATATACTAAAACCTTTTATATATATTCAGGTGGTCCAAAAAGCAATACTAATATGCAGTAGGGAACAACATCCAATCAGATTTCAGTTTAAAAAAACATTAAAACAGCAAAGAATACTGTTCCATTGACCACTGTGGGTTAATCTCACTTCACTCCCTTTTTTAACTTAAAAATCTCTGTATATAATGGTATAAAAACGAGATTTATAACGTATGCAGTTTACAGTTTTAACATTTTGTATTTGCATCTTCATAAAGCTGCTCAGAGCCATGTTACTGCTAATTTTGTTTGTCAACAATAAACCAGCAAAACCCTAATTTGAAAATAAAAAAATATAATAATAATTATAATAATAATATTATATATATATATATAATGCGTGTGTGTTTGACAGCCTAATGTATTTATTTACTTAATGTATGTATGAATTTTGACAACCTAAACACAGACCGAAGCTGTTTTTCTTAGCATTTTTGCCTTATTTTGGCACATCTTTGCTCACATTTGAAGTATTTTTTTTACCGCTTGACTATAATGCACTTTGACACTAACTATACAAGCATTACATTACAAAATAAGGAAAAGTGCAGTAGAAAAAATATTGCCACACTTTATAATTAGGTCCCCAAATGTATTTAGAAAGTATAATTTATAAAAAATATATAAGAAATACATCAATTTACTGACACCTTACTGCATGCAGCTGTTCAGTCTTTACAATATCACTTTCAGTTTTATATTTCTTTTTTTCCCCAATCTAAAAATATGAGACACAGCTGACAGATCACATCTAGGATACCTCTCTTATTTGGTGCTGAACACCTAGTTAGCACAGCATAATGCACCCTGTGCAGAACAATATGACACAGACATTGCAGGTCATTCCATAATCCAACTCTCATCTAAAGTGGTCCACGACAGTTTCAAATCTGCTTCGTGGAGTGCAGCAAAGCAATCTCCTAGGCAGCGGTCTGTCGCTTTCATCACACAAAGCCTACAACTTGGTATGAATTACAACTGCTTTCTTTCTGCTCTGTTGTCAAACCGCTGGGAAAAAAAACAAGTAATGCTTGTGTGTTGTATTGTACATCTCTAGGGTGCAGGTATTAAACTGCACTAACCCCCTAAAAGTTTTTTTTAGCTTTACCCTCCAGCTGTTACAGCTGGAGGCCACTGAATAGATTTTTGGAGCAAGGTGGACATAAATAGCATAGAACTCTAGAGGAATTTCTGCCGTTGCAGATTGTGGAAGTTGCTGCTGCTTTTACTCCTAATAAAGTTATAAAGTGCTAGATATGTACATAGTAAAGTAAGCCCACCATTGACACTGTCCAGAAGAGTATGGGGTTGATATACTAAAGGCAAATAGGCTGCTTACTTTGCAAAGGAATTTTCCCTTTACGTCGCAAATGTAGTACAATTTCACTTTTCAAAGAATGCTCAACCATGTGCAAGGAAAATAAAAACAAAATATATTTTTACTTGTATATGATAGGGTGATGGAAATCAGCAGAGCTTCACCACAGCCTATTTGCCTTTAGTAAATTGATTTCTATATATGCAATGGACTATACATCACTTTTACATTGTAAATGCTGCTTGTCAATAACTGAGTAAAAGAAAAAGACATAGAAGAAATATATGAACAGAAAAAAACAAGGGAAAGAACAGATAAAAATGAAGGAAAAAGAAGGGAAGGGCCATAGAGAAGAGAACAGGGAATGGAAAAAAACAAATGATACATAAAGAGAAGCAAAGAGAAAGAGAGGGAAAAAGCAAGGGGGGAAAGAGAAACAGGAGGGGGAAGAAAGAGAAAAGAAATAAAGAGGAAAGGGAAAAAGGAAAGGAAAGAAAAGAAAAAGGAAAGGAAAGAAAAAGAATATTAAAGGAAAGAAAGGGAAGAGGAAAGAAAGAGGAAAGGGGAAAAAGAAAAATGGAAAGAAAGAGAAAAAAGGAAAGAGAAAGAAGAAAGGAAAGAGAAAGAAGAAAGAATAAAGAAAAAGAATCCCATCTATCATTATTTATCATGAGCAGAATTGTAATAAATCTACAAATCAGAGAATGTTTTCTAAATCATTGTTGAAAACAAACTTTTCTACACCGACACATTTAGAAGATGTGGGGGCTGTAAATTGTGCTTTTTTTTTTATTTTTTATAATTGACATAAGCTGACAGTGTTAGTAAACTGCACAGAGCATATTGCCGACCTGAAATGTAAACAGTTGTGTCCAGATCTCCAAAGATTTCTACAATGCTGGATTATGAGCAGCCTAGTACAAGCACACATCTGGAGCTTGGTTAGGTTTCAGGGGCCCTGGCTGCATGGCAGATTCTAACACAATTGTCCCCTGCAGATGCTGTCACTACAATCACTATCGTTATAGTACCCTAACAATTAACGATTCCCCTGCTGGTTCATGCTGCAGCTGTAACTAAATAGACTCAGAGGGAGACCAAAACGGATGAGGCTATGGCATCACTATCCACTGCTGGTCAAACAGCTAAATGCTGGAAAAATGAATCTGTATAATGGATAATATGTTGTTTGTGCTGAGGTTAAAAGAGGGTGCTTGGACAAAGAAAGTCTTTTGCCATCCCTAGCCACAGCAAAGCTAGCCACAACTAGAACAGGTTTTGTTATAAGTGAGATCCAACTAAATCTGAAAATCTAGCTGTCATAAGAACATTCAAAAAGAACTTAGCATTTTAAATCTTTAAGTCTCACGAGAGTTACCTATGCACAAATGTTTTCTGTTTTTTAAAACATTCCTTTAAGGGACAAAACAAAGCAAGTTTTGGTAGAAATGGAGTGGGGATTGATTACTGTTTCAGGCCTCTACTGCTGCCTTATTCTCTATTGGTGTGATTAATCTCCCCAACCCCACCACCACCACCACCACCACCACCACCACCACCCACCTTCAGCACAAAAGCTTCAGGCAAGCACTAAAGTCTAAGCTTAGTCATTGTTTTAAAATAGCACAGGGAACAAGACATTGAACAAGAGATGTCCGTTGTTCTGGTGGCTGGTCTCTTGAGATCTTCCTTCCTCTGCAGTGTTAGGGGGACAGCTCCAGTGATACAGGGGTTACTATGAGCCACTGAACCTGTCACTATCTGCCCCCTCCTCCATTCATAGATAATTTACTATAACTTCCCAAAGTGAAAAACATGTTATGAATGCAGGAGGAGGACCTTTTATTCATCCACCTGTCCTCCATTTATAGGGTGATTTTCATTGCTGGAAGCTATACTTTAGCTTCTATGAATGTAGGAGAGTGGTCAGGAAGGGTGGGAATAGCTGACACTCTTAACCTGTGCATGTGATAGGTCCAGCAGCTGGTATTACCTCTGCAGCACTGGAAAATTACCACTGCAGGGGTATGAGGGGGCAGACAGCAGAAGATTTCAACTAGCCATTGTATTCTGCCAGTGAAGAGCCTTCTTCACCAGCAGAATACAACATACAATGTTTCTGTAACCGGTGACACTGATCATTCGGGAAAAACCCAACAGGTTGGTTGTACAGAAGTCGATCAATAGACTTGTGTACAACCAGCTAGCCCATATATGGATTGAAATTTTACTGGTCACTGCTGAACCAGGTGCATTTCAATACATGTATGGCTGGCTTAAGAGAGCAGCCAGCACAAGGAGACACTTCTCATCCAATGTAAATACTATACCTTTTGCTGCTCTTGAAAAAATAAAATAAATAAATAAATAAATAACGTGGGCTTTATTTAATTGTTCAGCAGCTATTGTCCCCCATTCTCAGATCAGCATACATTTTTGTGGAGAGGGCAAATATTTTAGTATATCTATTCCCTGGATGCTCCATATAGAGGTAAAGAAAACTCAGATGGCCGTGGTCATTTACCTAAAAACCTGAGCCCAGCCTCTTATACCTAAACAGAGAATGGGGGAAAACTCCCTGATGTTGTTCCTGATGGTGGTTAAAAAATTGTAAAGCTCAATGATGTAAACTGAAGGCATAGTTTGACCAGATCCAGGAAATGCTGGTTATATTCTGGTGTTTAAAGAGTAACGTTTGTGCTTTATAAATGGGTCTCTGGCATACTGAATGACAGCAAAGGGGGCAATAAAGGCACATGAGGGGCCAAAAACAGAGTAGATGGTCTGACAAGATTTTAGGAGAACTAGGAATGAATTGAGAAGAGTTGTCAAAAATGTATGGATCTAATTGGGCAGTGAAGAATGTCAAGTGATATCATCAGCATTATAACAAATCCTGCAATTCTCCACTGGAACTTTGGTGGGTGCAATCACTGTCAGAAGACAATGTTGCCAGAACCCCAGGTTATCCCCAACAAGGCATATTACAGGAGATCAATGACCTCATGTGCTGCAATGGTGCCTGAATAAAATGTTGAATCCTTCAACCCTGTTTGTTCTCTTCTTTTTTAAGTGCCAGTTCACATATATGTGGATTGCATACTGTTTGAACTGCATCCAATTCACATGACATGGGAAATAACATTGCTTCCTATGGTGCCTGTTCACATATGTCCGGTGCACTAGCAGTGCAATTCATATTGAAAAAAGAGTCATGTACGATTTCTGAGCAGTGTGGTCCAGTTCAGGTGTGGATTACAGGCTACTGACTTCTATGGGAACCATTTCTGAACCGCACATGTGTGAACAGGATAAGATCCTGACCTGATACTGTCCTGAACCTGATGTAAACCTGAGTTGAACTGCTGAACAATTACTGTGTCAATTAGCTGTGAATTCTGAGCTTCAATCTGCACCTCACGTGTGTGAACCAGCTCTACAGCTTAAAGTGTTATTAAAGCAATTTTTTTTATTAAAATAACAAACGTTATACGCACCTACTCTGTGCAGTGTTATTGCACAGAGCAGCCCCAATCCTCTTCTTCTCGGGTCTCCTCCTCTTCTTTGTGAGTCCCCAGAGCTGATGGCTCCTGCTGCTCTAGTGCTGTG